CCTGTTCATTCCTTGTCATTCCTCTTCTTCCTGTTCCTTCGATTTTCCTCCTTTTCATTCCTCTTCTTCCTTTTCGTTCTTTTGCGTCCCTCCTTTTCATTCGATTGTTGCTTCTGTGTCCTTCCTTTTTCTTTCTTTTCCCGTGTCTTTCTTTTCATCCTCTTTTCCTTTTTGTTCATTCCTTTTCGTTCTTCTTTGGCCTTCTTTTCATTTCTTCCTTCCTTCCTTCCTTCAGTGCTTTTCTTGCTTTTTGTCCTTTCTTTTTCTTCCTTTTCATTCCACTTCTTCCTTCTCTTTCCTTTGTGTCCTTCGTTTTTCTTTTTTTCATTCCTTCTTCATTATTTGTTCATCCTTCTGGTTCTTTTTTTGTCCCTCCTTTTCATTCCTTTGCTTCTTTTGTGTCCGTCCTTTGTCTCTCTTTTTTGTCATTCCTGTTCATTCCTTTTCATCCTTTTTTGCCCTTTCTTTTCATGTTTTTTCTTTCTGTTATGTCCTTCCTCCTGTTCATTCCTTTTCATTCCTTTTTTTTCCCAATTTTATTCATTTTTTATGCTCTCTTTTCATCCCTTTTCATTCCTATCTTTCTTTGCCAACCCTTTGCACTTTGCACACATGTATGTACTCGAGACGCCAGTAGCCTGTAGCAGTGCGCAGTGTGAAAAGATGTCTGCGGCTTTCTGCCTAGGTTTACACTGTAGGTGGCCTTATAACACAGGTTAACAGCTGTGAAGGCTTGTGCAGACCGCCATGCGTTTCGATTTTCAGTATTGCAGGAGATGGAGATGGGACTGGTTCAATGGCTGCGCTGGGACCCGCTGATCCGAATGATCCGCAATGTTCTCGGGTTCGCCACAAACTACCAGGCCACACAGAACGCATTGCGTGTAAACACGGGTATGAGTGACGTTGTTCGAGATGAAGTTAACGCACTCTGTCGTGTAGCTATGGACGCAGCGAGGGCTGAGTACAGCGCCCATCTGGCCGAGACGGCTCGTCGCCTGGTCGAGGAAACAAGCGCAAACCTCTGGAGACGCATGAGCAGTTCATGGAGAGTCGCGCTTTCTTTCACGCTCAGGTGAACCATTTGCGGGGAGCAATCTCCGCCGAGCTAGACGATGCTGTTGGACAAAGATCAGAGCAGTACGAACAATCCATCAATCAGCAGAGAGCTCAGTTTAACGCCTTTTCGGAGCATATATAAACTGAGATGGCAGTTGCAGTCAGAACGGAGCAGGTGGTCAGTGAGCAGAGGAACAGTTGCTGGAAGAGAGCCGCTCAGTGCCGGACACGAGTCACGGCCTTCAAGACTCCGCGGAACGTTTGAACAGCGAACTTGAGAAAGCGCAGAAGGACTTTTTTCCAAATCAGACAGGCCGAGGTATGTTCCACGACGCGCAGAATGAAATGTTCGCTCAGAATCATGTCTGGAGTATTTATGACGACCCGCGTCTTTTCCCAACACAGAATGTTCAAACCGCTAGGCCTACGCCACAAGTGATACCGCGCTAAACATGAAGTGATTCTATTTCGGGAATCCATCAGCTTAACATGAGTCAAGATTTCAATCGGGTCAAGGAGCAAGCGCGGCAAAGGGAACAACAGCGAGCAGCGGCCCCAAGCTGAGTTGAATGAGCTTCCGCTTTCGAGATCTACCGCGCTTGGAAGACCACTACTCACAAGGAGATCAGAGCAGCTTCTGGTCGACCTGATGCTGCTTTCACGTGACTAAACAAGGTCGCGAGAGCTGGGAGGACAAGGCGTGTGTTATGGGCGAAGCGGGTGATCCTGACCAGTCGCTTGACACAAGGCTTCTTGTGGCGCAGTCGTGAATAGCCAGGGGTGACCTTAGCGGACTGACCCTTACCTATAAAGCAGACAGGTGCTTCTGATGTTCGGGCAGCGTTTTAGAATTGGAGAAGAGGCTAAAGACCTACTCAAAGTAGTACTTCATGGAAATGATTTGGTGTCTTTTCTTCACAGCTGCAATTCCGTCATCGCTGGAATGAAGATTGTGCCGGGTCGTTTTGCGGCAGATTCGTGGGTGCCAGAAGATCAAGTGCGACCTGGACACATACAAACGCGCAGAAGAAGAGGCGTACGATAAGAGCCATAAGTTCCTGGCACACGCAATTCCTGATTTGATTACCCGAGTCCGTTCAACCAAACGTGAACGAGTCGCACGAGCACATAGTCAGAAGGTACGAATTTCTGCTCCGAGTGACCAAGGCCAAGCACGTGAGCAATCTGCCACATGATTTCAGAAGGGAAAACGCACTCGTGAGAACTGTCGGTGTAAGCATTCAAAGGATGATCGACCGCGGAGCCAAAAACCCACGCGGCAAAGGCCGGGGGCGCTCCGACAGTAAGGAACGTGGACGAGACCGTTCTGCTTCAAGGAAGAAGACCCCGTCATGCTTCTTCAAAGAAGGTCAAGGTAATTGCGCAAGATGTGCCAGATGTGCGTTGAGGCTAGCGCCGTTGCACCCGCAACCGACAAGCAGAACCCGAGAAAGAACTGCAGAGGTCGACAGTGACGGACCCGCAGACGCTGTTCAATAGTATGCCCAGAGCTGCCTTATATAACTTGCTGGTGAACCATGCGCAAGTTCAAGGCAGAGGCGCCCGTGCTTCTCATACTCTGGAAATCAAAGTGCAGATGCTGCAGCTAAAGATGCCGCCCTTCCTTTCAAACAGGAACTCAGGCATCTTTGGCAACCAATGTGCGACAAGGCGCGAAAAAGAAATGAAGAATTTCAGAATTGCCAGACTTGTGCTGTGGACTTGCGACGCCAATCCGGCAGATGAGGCTCAGAGGCCAGTGATGTGTGCGGAAACCAATCCTTACTTCAGCTGGCCAGAAGAAAGCAGCTACGTTTCCAGGAGTTGTCTTACGAAGTGGGCCGAAGGGCTCAGGTGGCGGCCAGAAGAAGCTTGTGTGAGTAACCACGTTACTTGGGTTGAATTGCTCGTCTCGTTTAGGTTGTTGCTTCTCGAACATCCGACGCAAGGAGACCTGTGACACCAGGCGCATACGAATACAGAACATGCTTTCCAAGGGGAGGTGAAGCCTGCGCAATGAGGTTTGCCATCCGCAACCTGAGTGAGATAACATTTTGCCAAAGGCAGCAGAGCAGGAGACCCTTCAGAAATACTTCGCAAAGCAGAAGGATCACCCCTTGCACCAAAGCGCCAGGCAAGCGTGCGCCCTCGGCAGGTCCGTGTGAGAGTGAGCGTCGTGTTACTAGAAGGTGACTTCCTTACGCGTCTGTTGATGCGCGGGCTCAATCGTGGCGGATGCGACATTCGTGCGCAGAGTTGGGGCTAGGCCAGCGCAGAGATCCAGACATCTTCGGCAGGCACCCTTTATTTTTCCCCTTCTCAGGCGAGGGCCTCTAGATTTTATAAACACCTACATATCTATTTATCTATCTATCTTATTTCTTGTCTATCTATCTACCAGTTTCTATCTTTTTAAGTGTCTTTATCCATCTATCTATCTATCTATCTATCTATCTATCTATCTATATCTCTTTAACTATCTCTTTATTTGTCTTTGTCCTGCTGTATCTATCTAGTTAATCGAATTCATCCATCCATCCATCCATCCATCCATCCATCCATCCATTCATCCCTCCCTCCCTCCATCCACCTATCCACCTATCTATCTGTCTGTCTATCTATCTATCTATCCACCCATCTATCTATCTACCTATCTATTCATCTATCCTGCATTTTGAAACCTGTGCCCGACATTGCGAAAGTGCTGCGCCTGCCACGAAACCTGTACTGGGCCTTGTTTCCACGAAATCTATACCTGACCTTGCGAAAGTGTTGCGCCTGAAACGAAGTCTGCGCCTGACCTTGAAAAAGGAGCTTGCGTGCCTTGCGCTTTTTGTCCTTCCTTTTCATTCCTTCGTTCCTGTTTCGTTCCTTTTCTTCATCTTTTGTGCTTCCTCTTCATTCCTTTTCGCGTGCTTCCCGTGTCTTTCTTAGTCGAGGCTCCGCGCGTGCCCGGGCCTCCGTGAGGTGCATCTGCAGGGGGGCCCAGGCCCCTAGGCCAAGTTCCGGAGACGGAGAGTGAAAGAGCCTGAGAAAGGAAGCGGGAAAAGTTGAAAAGAACAGACACCAAGGGGGAAGTGAGATATAAAATGCAAAAGGAAGATTGATAAGAGGCAAAAAGAAGACACACCGGAGGGAGTTTTGCAGCCGAGTGGAAAGTGCGAAGGGAAGGGGGAAGGGAAGGAGGCTTTTCACAAGCAGGACAGAATAGCGAGTGGCCGAATGCGGGGAATGAGTCGGAATTTGGGTCATGCAAGAGTGAGAGTGCGTCTGAAGTGTTTGAAGGATTTTTCCGAGACGGCTGTTGCGTATCGCCGGTCCCATTTTGTCATTTTGCATCCTTGTCCTTTTCTACTTTCTTTTTCTGTGGGCTCAGGTCCCACAACCTACTGCCCGGGCACCTGGGCAGCGCGGGCGAGCAACCCGGGCTCATGGCCCCCGACGCAAGACTTCAAGTTGACGTGTTGCCGAGACTTGTTTTGTGTTTTTTTGGGTCTCGGCCCGGCACATGTTTTTTGCTTTGCCAAGCTCCGCATATAAACAGCTGTGCGGTTTTGAGGAGCGCGCAGCGCATGCCTATGGCCAACCTCACAGCTTGGAAGCCAACACGCATGAAATCCACACCCGCAGAATCCAGAGGCTAGTGAGCACATTGACCTTTCCCGTAAAGGTTTCAGCATGCGACGTATTTTCTCCTGCGTGCACTTGGATAGGAAGCGGTGTGCCTTGGGCTTGGTTTTGCAAGCCTTCTTTCCGACACTCACGGTTGCAGCCAAGATGTGCATACAAGGAACACGCGCAAAAAATGATTAAGCAAGATGAGCGAGCAGCTGCGCATGCCGTAGGTCCCACGAAGGTGTGTCCGGGGGCTTAGGACTCCATCTACACAAGTCTTCAGCGGCTTGTGTGACATTGTGTGAGGCTGCAACTAGCTGCCTGCGTCAGAGTCTCAACGATGCCGAATTCCCAAGTCCTGAGAAGCCTGAGACGTATTGCGTTTGAACGCAGGTTGAGCGGCGAGCTGAGCCGCATGGAGACCCAGAAAGACTCAGTCAAGCCAGGAAGCCTGCCCCTTTTTTTTCTTTTTCTCTGAGGCTGTGGTTGCGGGTGGAGCAAAACACCTTCACAGAGCCAGGTGACGTTAATTAATTGGGCGGGAGAGAGAGAGAGAGAGAGAGAGTCTCTTCTCTGAGATGTTAAATTTAGTTGGTACTTTTGCTTACAAGTGCAAGTGCTGTAGTGTTCAAACAAACAGTCAACCAATGTAGTTTGCAGCTGCCAACCTTTTCAGAGTAGTAAGCTCAAGGCCTGCGGTAGGGAACATACATGCAACACATATGCAGGAAGTGAAGCATGTAGTTTGACACGGCCCCTCAGTTAAAAGGTCTTTGTAGTACCTTTTCAACTGAAGTGCAAAACATGGATTGACAGTAGTGATGAAACCATTGTTGTTCATCAATTCTACTGTATTGGCAAAAGTAGTGACCTGCGCTCAGTAGTTCACGCTGTTCAGGTTCCAGCTCGATGTAGGGCGCTGGATGGAAGTAGTGAGGCAGGCGCTCGTTGTAGTGGAGCATGAGCTCAAGGATGTAGTCCCCATTTCTGGGCGCGATAGTCTTGGACCATCTGGAGTCTGTTGTCCAAGGTCGCGTAGCAATGTATGGTGAAAAATGTTGTCATGTAGTTTCTCCCCGTAGTCGCTCGTCGTCTATCTCAGAACACGACATGTGTTGGTCGTACTTTCTGAGAAAGCGGTGTAGTAGTGCTCTGTGATGTTGAGTGAGGTTTGTCATGGTGAGTAGTGTGAATCCGTAGTACTGTATACTCTTGCAAAGGATGGTAGTAACTGCGGGGCATGTGGTAGTTCCAAAGGTAGTTGTTCCTGAGGCTGTAGTTGTCAGTGAAGGTGGTCATGTTGTAGTTCACCTTGTAGATGGTCTGTGGAATTGGTGTAGTCGGGGGGTAGTAGTTCTGTGAAGTGTAGAAATTGTCCTGAAGTGAGGTAAGTCAGGAGTAGTGGTTGTTCAATCTGGAGTTGGATGATGATGTAGTTGGTGTTGTCGCTGGTTGTAGTGTGGAGTGAAGTCGTGTGGTAGTAGCGGACGTTGGCTGCTTCAGGTAGTGAAACGCTGAGCAGTGTAGAGTTGTAGCGGGGCATCCGAAGGTCTCTAGGGATGCAGTGAATGGGTTGCGTGTAATCCAGTTGTGCCAGTGGAGTTGCTTGTTGTTGTGAGAGTAGTTGATACTCTTCAAGTGTGAGTGCAGTGAAAAACTGAGTGTAGGGTGTGTTGTCGGGCAATGGTGGTGTAGTGGTTGCAGTGATGTGTAGTTGGTCCATCACTGTGGTCGGGTTGTAGTAGACCATGTTGCCAGGTGTAGAATGGTTGAAGTGGTAGTTGGAGTCGTTGTAGGTTTGAGGTGGTGGAGTTCCGTGGTCACTGGGGTCCGTAGTGACCGCCACCTCAGGTGTAGTTGCCCTGTCGGGCGTAGTGGCGTCTCCCATCGTAGCATTTGCAGTAGATGGAGCGACCATGGCTGCAGTGGAATGCAAAACGTAGTGAAACGGGGCAAAAACAAAATGAGCTTAAGTAGTTGCTACCAGGCAGGCGGCGCACGCAGACATGTAAAACAAACAACTGTAGTGTTGACTCAGCCGCCAAAAGTGCAAGTGAAAATACATGTAGTTATTGTTACTTACATACCAAAGGTGTCGTGTTACATGTAGCTACTTACATACAAGAAATGTCCAAAGTCGTTGTTGTTGTTGTGAAACTGCTGTGCTGGTCGTTCGTAGTGCTAAATGCGTATCCCAATGCTCTGGATGAGCCTGTGTAGTGTTTCTTTGCTGATGTATTTGGTAAACAAATCTGCGCTGTTGTGAAGTGTGTTGATCTTAAGGATTCTGATGATGTCGTGCTTGATGAGGTCTTGTGTGTAGAGAAATTTGAGGTCGGTGTGTTTTGCTCGTTTGCTAGTGCCTGGTCGTGTAGCAATGCTCTTGCCTGCTGTGGAGTCTGTGTGGATGCGTTGGTTTAGCTTGCTGCAAATGTTGGTTTCAAGTAGGAAGTTTCTGAGGTGTAGTCCCTCATTAACTCCTGTGCAACTGGCGTAGAGTTCAGACTCTGCTGAGCTGAGTGCTATTGTAGCTTGTGTTCTGCTGCCAAATGCAACTGTTGTTCCTAAAAAGATGATGTTGAAACCTGAAGTTGGTTTCCTGCGTCGAGATCCGGGATGTTGTTGGTGTTTGCTCTGAGTGTTGTTGTTGGTTCTATGGTGAATTTATAGTGCTTGGTGCCGTGCAAGTAGCGTAGTAGATGTTTGACTCTCTTTAGTGAAAGTTCTGTAGGTGCTGTGAGGTCTCGTGCTAGTTCTTTTGTGGAGTATGCAATGTCTGGTCGTGTGTGTGCTAGCCATTGAAGTGTGCCAACAATCCTTCTGTACCTTTTGTGTTGTTCGTGGTCAAGTAGTGCTTCATCTTCTATTGTTGGTTTGTAGTGTGCAATTCCTGGAGTGTTCACTGAGTTGCAGTTGTTCATTCCAGACTCCTCGATCATGTTGTCGATGTAGGAGTCCTTTAGTCCAAGATTGCAGTAGTTGCCAAAGTGGTCGATGTTTCTTCCAAGAAATTGTTGTGGTTTGCCAGGCTCGAGGTAGCTGATGTGCTTGAGTAGGACCTGCTTCTGGACGGCCTCGAAGGTGGAGTCGACCGCAGTCTTGTCTCCAAGTACTAGTAGATCGTCCACGTAGACCATGATGTAGCAGTCGCGGGTCGCATTGGTGTAGACGTTAGGTTCTGAGTTTAGTCTTACAAAGCTGAGCTTTTGTAACACTTCAGCCAGGTAGTCCTGCCATGCTTTTGGTGAACTGCGTAGTCCACACATGGCTTTCTTTAGTCGCCAGATTTTGTCCTGTTGTGGACAAAGTTCTTTAGGTGGCCAAAGGTAGACGTCACGTTGTTTACCGTCGTGGTCTTTTGCGATGGGTGCGTGTAGAAATGCTGTACAGACGTCACCTAGTCGCGCGATCCAGTTTGGTCGTGACATTTGTAGCGCGAGAAGTGTCCGGAGTGTCGTGAACATTGGTGTAGAGGCGTAGATGGAGTCTTTGTCCTCGATCTTCTCTGTGTAGCCTTTTGCGACGATTCGGCTTCGTACTCCTGGTCCTTTCATTATATGTACCCATCTTGTAGGTATCGCTTCTCTGATGACGTTGTCGTCGACGGTAGACGCATCTACTTCGTCGTAGACGTCGTGTAGCTTCATTTGGTTTGACTCGTGTTTCATTCCGATTATGGGTTGGTCGTCTGAGGTGTCGTCGCGGATTTCCCGCTGGGAAGTGTCACTGCGTTGATTTTCTGTCGTAGTGGTGGTTCTTTGGTTGCTTGCTGCGTTGATCTGACTGTAGTGTCCTTTGAGGTCTTCTGCGCTTTAGTTGGTTGCGTTACTTCTTCCGGAGTTAAACGTCGTAGTGTTTGTCGAGGTGGTGCTGGTAGTGGTGGATGTTGTCGCCCGGTTGGTGAAGTAGCCATAGGACTATCCGGTAGTGGTCGTGAACTTGACGTCGATGTAGACGGAAGTCGTGGAGGTGGTGTAGTGCGTTGTTGTTTTGTTGCGGGTTCCGCAACGATGTCATCCGTAGCGTTCGTTTGTTGTCCGAAATCTTGCGTGGACCTTCTTTTCTCTGACGGTTGTATAGTTGCGTATCCAACAGTGTTGCGAACGATGGGTTGTAGGTGCTCCGTCGTGGTGCCCATGGTGTGCCGGAAACTTTGTTCAGCAGTGCGAGGTCGTATTTGAAGTCCGGTTGTAGTCTCCGTACTGTTCGTGCCTTCTGTACGCCTGATTCCGTTGCGACGTGGTTTTCTCCGGTTTCGGAAACTTGTCCGAGCCAGATGCATTTCTGCGTCCGTAGGTCTGCTTTTGGAAGTTTCTTGTGTTGTGGTGGAGGGTAAAGTAGTGTCTCGCCAAATTCGCAGATTGCTCGCTCGTAGTTTCTTCCCCAGCGGCGTTCAAAGCTTGTGTAGCCGTCTGAGTGAATGACGTAGCGATTTACCGTCCATGCTGCATGTCGTACTATCCAAGGTAGTAGACAGTGCTTTGTGGACATCGTCATGCTGTAGTTGCTTTCAACCTGAGCTTTGACAACGCGGATTTGTCCGAGGAGTGTTCTATGTAGTCGCTCAACGCTTCCTTGACTGTTGCTGCTGTAAGACGGTGAGTGTCGTACAGTCATTGAGCCGACTTTTGCTGCTGTAGCTTTTAGAAGTGCGTTGAGTGTGTCTTCGTTGTCGCTTTGTAGTATGCCTTGTGTTCTTCCGCACTCAAAGATGAATGCTTGCAGGTTGTTGACCATGTAGTCCATCATTGATGGTTTGTCCGGGACCATTACTGCCACACACAGTTGTGTAGTAACATCAACTGCTGTCAGTACTGGTATGGTCTTTGGGTCTTGTTGTGATTTGATGTAGGCAAAGTCTACTTGAATGACGGGTTGTCGTGATTGTTGTTTCTTGTAGTTGTCTTGGCATCCTTTGCCTTGAACGCAAATTGGACACCAGTTTCTGTATGGTAGGTGTGTAAGATTGTGTTCTGCTATTTGTTGTGGAGTGGGCTGCGTGGTTGTCGTAGTCCTCTTGCTCTGTGTGCTTCATGATGCTCGTGTTGTTGTTCCTCATCGTGGTTCTCCTGAATGTACTCGTAGTCTTTCTTCATGGTGAACCTTGTTGTTCCTTTCCATTGAAATGGTAGTGCTGCGTTGCCCATGACTGTCCAGTCATCTTTGCGTTGTGAAACTTCTCCAAAGTTGTTGTGGGTGATTGTAGTTCTGTGATGGTGGATGTCCTGGTCCATCTGTTGGAGTGAATAGAGTTGTTCTAAGTGTTGTGTGGTGTCTTATCCAGTATTCACCTTGTCTTTCCCAGCAGTCTTGGTTGTCCTCCTGTGCTGTGAGTGGTCTGTGGATTGTCTCCTTTGGTTGTGTGGTGTCAAGATTTGTAGAAGGTGCTGCTTTAGGTCTCCATATCTTTTGTGGTGCTCGTAGTTGGATCTTTGATCTGGTTGGTGGTGTGTCCATTAGCCGTTGTGGTTGTGAGCTCTGCCTTGTTGGTGTGGTCTTTGATGTTGCTCTGCGTGTAGG